GTTTTGCAAAACTGAAAACTGAAAGTAATTTGAAAACAACAAAATTATACCCTTATTTTTTGAATCACGATCATTTTACTTTATTCCGAAGTTACTCTTCAAGGATACTCGAAGTCGAGCCAATGATTTGCTAGGCCTTGTTCTCTTAAGGCAATGTTTGAAAAATGTTCATAAATTGATTAATTTATAAATAGACAGAAATATATACTCAATAAATAGGTTGTATTTGTGATCCTCAAAATGTGTACGAAGCCATTTATCATGGCTTTTGTGCAATCAAAAAGATCTTTTGAGATCCAAAAGTTATTTTTGAACCCGTTTTGATAATTTTATGAAATTATTTTTTTCTAGTTAGAAGATATTTTATAGAAAACTAGTCCAATGTACATTTCTTTAAAAGAACTTTGAGAATATGAAACTCTTTTAAAAATTAGCTTTCGAATCAAAATAAGGTGTAAGAAAATAAACCAACGGAAGCAGAAATATATTCACTAAGAATAAACCAAGAATTTCACAACACCAAGTTGTATATCAAAACATAGGGCTCAGAAATTCACAAAAACATTGTACCTGTCTGTACAAAGCAATAAGCCACAAGAACCATACTAAAACCCTAACAGAAAATGCACAAAGCAGCTACTCAATGGCCCGAAACCATTACAGCATATCTAACCTCACTAACATCTCAATCGAACAATCACCAAGATTTGTGATTAAAGGTTTTAATCAAGACCACAAAGAATCGAAAGAGACGACAGAGAAGTATTAAAACAGAGAATCCAGAAGCTTCCCTCACACTCAGCAAAGGAACATAATGAATTAATCACGAAGAAAATGGCCATCCAACTCCTTATATAGGCAGCATCATCACCGTAGATTAGGCTGAAGATCCAACGGACCAGAGCAACACACTTGGCATTTTAGTTGGGCCGGGTTTTTGGCTAATTTCCTTTGAGTTATTGAGCAATGGTTTTAGTTCCAAAAAAATTCCAGCAATGGGCCAAGCCCAATTCATCATTGCCCTTAGTTGAATATAAATGACAAAATTGGCATCAATATTTAACAATCTCCCCCTCGATGCTAATGTCATAAGTAACCAAACACATTAGTACTTATTAACACCAACACCGAGGAGATCATCACCTACAGGAACACAAAGTTACCCAGTGTCAATTCTTAGAATTTTTAAACATGATTTAAACTTGGAAAGAGGTAATACCTTTGTTCCCATATCCGCAGGATTGAATTGTGTAGGGATTTTCT